TAGTGGTAATATATGCATGTATGGGGGGTAAGCATCCTGTAAGTCTGTGATTTGCTCTGTTTTTTCAGAGGGCCTGTGTCCTTTGCCTGAGACCTTCACAAGCGCTTCTCTTTCTTACTTTACACTGAGAAGGCTAGAGAGGGTTTGAATTTGGTATTTCCCTTCCCCCAGGTCATTGAGGCTCTGGTAAAAATGAAACTTTGTTAAGCTATTTCTCTTGAGGCAGGGTTTCCAAAATACTAGTTTTACTTCAGATGCTCTTGTTGTACTTTGGTTTGGTTTACTTCCAACTGGTTACTTTTCTCCTTCCCTTTGCCAGAAGCACAAGGAGATTTTCCTCCAGTCTTAACCCTGAGAACCTGTTGGGTTTCCTAGACATAAAGCTCATGAAAGTTTGGAAGCCCTCGCCTGCCGCCCAAGAATGTGCCCCATTGCAGTTTTAACGGTGGAGCTTGTCCACCCTGAGCTTCTTAGCAATTATAATTTAAATTATCCTGGTAATGGCTCCCATAGCAGGCTTCTGCTCCTGGTAAGTTGTGATTCTCTGTATACACCTATCTGCCTCTACATTTTTGGAAGCTGCAGTTTTCCCAGTAACCTCAATTTTCTGATGGGTCTAAGAAAAGTTGCAGATTTTTTTGTTGTTGTTGATATAGGCCTGACATCTGACAAGTTCCTTAGATGTCAAATAGAAACCAGAAATTGTCTCATATCTTTTTTTTGTTTGATTATCCCTGTTACTACCTTCTTTTGTGTTTAGTTATTTATAGAGTACCATTTAAATTTCCTTTTCATTTCATTTTATTAATATATTTTAGTTACTTTCTTGGTGGCTAACCTGAGAACTGCAATTAGAATTTCAAACTCATAAGAAGCTAGTTTGAATTGATTCCAGCTTAGTTATAATAGTATTCCAAAACTCTGCTCCTGTGAAGGTCACTCCTCTATGTTGTCCCTAATTACATTACTGTATATTGTGTATCTACTAACATTGATTTGTAATTATTGTTTTAGTCATTTGTCATTATTATCATATAAAAAGATGAGTGATAAAGAATAGTGACTTTTATATTTATCTATATTTACCTTTTATGTTTACCCAGATGTACTCCTATGTAGTTACTTTTGCCAATATTCTTTTTTTTGTGTGTAGTAACAAGTTACTATCTATTCTTCATCAGCTGTTCATTTTTGGAAGACCTTAGATTCTCCTGCATTTTTGAAAGCTTGTTTTGCCAGATACAGGATTCTTGGTTGAGTGTTTTTATTTCAGTTCTTTAAATATATTATCCCACTGCCTTCTGTCCTCTGTGGTTTTTCATGAAAATCTGATGTTCATCTTATTGTGGACACCTAGTATGCGACAAGTTACTTCTTTCTTGCTGCTTTTAAGATTCTCTGTCTTTTATTTTTTAAAAAAATGGTTGCCCATTTATTATAAATGATACTACAGAAAATACAGATATGCTGGCAGATGGAAAAGATGCACAGGGCAAGGCATGTGGGAAGGGGCCTGGAGCTAACATGCTCCCTTTGGGCATGCCACCACCCAGTATCTCTGCATGTTTAGCAACCTAGAAGCTCCTGTCTTTGATTTTTGAAAGTTTCATTATAATTTGTCTCAGTGTGGGATTCCTTGTGTTTACCCTATGTGGATTCTATTTATCTTGTATGTGTTTTATAAAATTTGGGGAATTTTGGCCATTATTTCTTCAAATACTCTTTTTACCACTTTCTCATTTTTCTCTCCTTCTGTGACTCCCATCATGTATATGGTGGTACACTTGATGTTGTTACACAGATGTCTTAGGTTCTCTTCACTTAAATTTTTTTTTCTTTCTTCTCTGACTGGATAATTTCAGTGAACTATCTTCAAGTTCACTAATTCTTTTGCTTGCTCAAATCTGTCATTGAAAATGTTTAGTGAATTCCTCATTTCAGTTGTTACAATTTTCTGCTCCATAATTTTTATTAGATTTTGTTCTGTAACTTAATTTTGCTTTATTGATATTCTCTATTTGTGAAGGCATCATTTTCCTTATTTTCTTTGGTTCTTTGTTCATAATTTTCTTTAGCTCTTTAAGCATATTTAAGATAGCTGATTTAGCGTTTTTGTCTAGCAAGTCCAATGTCTCTTTCCTCAGGGACAATTTCTATTATATTTTGTTCTCTGTGAATAGGCCATACATTCTTGTTTCTTTATATAACTTCTATTTTTTTTTAAAACTTTACATTTTAAAATATTTTAATGGATACTTTTGAAATCAGATCCTTCTGCCTGTTCAGTGTATTTGGTTGTTGCTTGTGTGGATTGTAGTTGTTTGTTTTATAATTTTCTTCATCTTTTGTCATGTCCTCTGAAGTCTGTCTTCCATTTACTTGAAATTTTGTTACATATTTAACTTTTGAATTCTTTTTAACCTTTGTGGTCAGCTACTGACTTAACAGATATTTTCTTAAATTCTGTGTTGAAGTCATCATTTGTTGACTTTGCATTCACTTGGTTGTTGTAAACATTTGATCATTTTCTGGAGTTCTGACAAAAGTTGATTCTGGCCATTTTTGTTCATTTTTTTTTTCATGTTTCTGTGGAAAGAGGTGGCCAGCAGTTTTCCTCTCTGCTATTTTCGCTGGAGTCATTGCTATCTTCTTTATTTTTTAATCTCATAGAAAACTTATCTTACAAAAAGCTAGGTGATTGTATACAGGATGAGGTTAGTCAGCTAGCCTAAAGAGGGGATATGCAAGAAGCTCAGGAAAAGATAGCTGATGCAGACAACATGAGTGTCGTGTGGTTTGCCTGATATGGTGGGGATGGATGTAGTGTCTGTTGTCTGTTAACACCATTAATACTGGATTTGGGCTGAACCAGTCTCCTAGATATTTGTTACTTTAGCAATCTTTTATGTATACTGATTCTGAAAAGATAGATTAGAAAATACCTTGTATTTCTTTTGATTCTATGTTGTGGTTTCTGACAGTTTTGCATTAGTTTCATGAAAAGTAGATCTTAATGAATTTTTAAAATTGCCTTAAACTTTTATAAGGATTCAAAAGTAAGAAAATTTTACATCATCATGATGATTCAATCTCATAATCATGTTATGATGCATTGGTAGACTCAGGTCTGCCACCTTCTGAATTACTTTGTGGACAATCCATTCAAAAGCTGTACCTTAGGTGTATAATATTTAAAAGACCTGGCTACAGTTTACTAGTGCTTTTCATAACTCTACGCATGTTTCTTTTTTTTTCTTTTTTTCTTTTTTTTGAGACAGAGTCTCACTCTGTTGCCGAGGCTGGAGTGCATGGGCATGATCTCAGCTCACTGCAACCTCTGCCTCCTGGGTTCAAGCGATAAAATTTAGAGATTTAACTTTTCTCGGGCCTGGATTTAGATAACTTCATTTTAAAAGGACTGAAGGTAAAAATAGAATATAAATAAAACCTTTTCTCCCCCAAGTCTGTGACCCTAGTTGGACCTCTGTCTGAAATTAACTGATCTAATTTTATAAAATCACTAGGTTGAATTTTGTTGTCTGTAATATTGTATAGTACCTCATAATATCAATTCAGATGGCAAGAGTGAAGTTTCACACCATGTATGGGTTTGGGAAGAATTTGAAAGAAATATGTTGAAACAACAAAATAAAGATTTCCCATTATTCTGGGAATATACTCCACGTATATTCATACTTTTACGATCAATTTTATGATCTTCATATCAATAGTTGTCCATCAGACATATTTTACATGACATACTAGGTACATGTTGGTAATATAGAGTAAGGATCCCTCTTCAAGATTGTATTATGGTAAAAACAATATGCATATAATAATAGTACAACTTATGTAAATACTGTAGAAGAGTTACCAAGTGTTTTATGGGTTCTGAGGAAGTAAAGATGTTATTAAGGAGATCAACAGTTAAGGAGGCCCGTGAAAAATTACTGGTGTTTTGAAAGAATTCTGTGGAAAATGAACAACTTAAAAGTCATGTACACAGGCATCATAGAGCAATATTTGGAGTCGAATAGCGAATGGATAGCATACAAGTAGAGTTATGGGAAAAACAAAATTGTCAAGATCAGTAGTAAATAAATTATAGAGATTTTGGTTGCTGAATTGAAGTATTTGGTTTTAAACGTATCCTCATAACTGGAAAGGGTGACAGAAATCACATTATTCAGCCCCTTGTTTTACAAATTAGAGTAGAAACCTCAAATGTTATTTTAACATTATACCTATGTTTATTAGTAGACCTCCTATAGAACTCAGGCTAGAAATCAGATTTCTTTCAATGTATTTTTTAAGTCTTGTAGTACAATAGGAACATTTCTCAGATGATCTTGCAGAGACAGTACTCATTTCTACATTGCTAAATTCAATGGGATTTTGTTGATTTTGTTCACTTATGTATCCCAAGCCCCTAGAGTAATTCCTGGCACACAGTAGGCTCCTGGCAATTATTTATTAAATAAATGAATGTGTGTCTGAATATAAATATTCATCATTTTAGTTACCATGGCCGCTACTAAAATCCAACCTCATTTCCCTTTCCAGTATTGTGATCAGAGTTTATCCTACCTCTATCATTTTGCAGCTAGAGATTAAGAATTGAGATAAATGACACACAGTATATTATATAGAGTTAAATACAATATTGAATGAATGCACATAAATGTATACATACCTATACATATGTATGTTATTAAAATTGAAATAAATCTGTTGCTCAGATTTTACAAAATCAACAGCCCAACATTATCAGGAAAGTTGATTAATTCTTAAGTTCACTGAAGAAATAAGGTTGTCCTGATTTATAGAAAGCAAATTGTTGACTTAGTTTTTTGCTAAAAAGAGTCATTTAGCACTAGGAAAATTGCTTAATATTTTAATGGAAGAGAAATATTAGAATATCATTTCATTTTTCAAAAGCCAATTTAAATATTGTAACAGAATACATTATACCCATGATAAAATATAATATATTTTCTCAGTTTCATCTCTAGACACTGAAAAAGGACCCAAGCCATGTACAGACCATAATTGTGAACCTTCCAAAAGACTATTTAAGGTATGTTATGTGAGGCTGGTAAAAGGAAAAAAAAAAGTTAAATGAACATGCCCCATGAGTAAGTAAGCATCCTAGCTATTTATAAAATACATTGAATCCCCACAATTAAGGATTTCAACAATAAAAATAAAACTTTACCCACTAATAAAAGATAAGACGTTAATAGAATTTATAAAATACTTTCAAATTTAGCCTTTTGTAATGGGTTATATGAAGAATAATGGTTTTTCTATTTGTTTTGCCTTATTTGCTATTGCCAATTAATTTATAACTATTATTCAGATAAAATACTGTCCATGTTACCATTGTCCATCATAAATAACAAGCAAATTTGAACCATCTTTATAATCTATTTTCATATTGCTTTGCTCTATACCCAGCATCTTGTATCTATGCTTAGGATGAAAATGATGCTATATCTTCTCTAGAAGCAATTTAAATTAGTTGTTTTTTACATTATACTTAACATATTGTTCATGTTCAATAAATTTGTGACAATATTTTTCTATGCCTAATTATAATTTACTGACCATAAACACATTGTAAACAGTAATATTTTTAAATGTTTGGCATATATAATTATTTACATTATAATGGTTGTAAAGTGTTTCTACTAAAGGTATAAGTATTGTACACAGAGATCGATATCCATTATTTTTGCCTAGTGAAATTGACAAGGGGATTATTTCTTAATTTGTACTCAGTAAGCCTCCTAAAATGTAGCTTCAGTCAGGAATTCCCAACTCCTTGGCTACAGACTGATACCAATCCATGGCCTGTTAGGAACTGGGCCGTATAGCAGGAGGTGAGTGGCAGGCTAGAGAGAAGCTTCACTGTGTTTACAGTCCCCCATCTACATCGCTTGTATTACCACCTGAGATCTGCCTCCTCCTGTCAGATCAGATCAAGCGCAGCATTAGATTCTTATGGGAGTGCAAACCCTGTTGTGAACTGTGCATGTGAGGGATCTAGATTGTGTATTCCTTATGAGAATCTAATGCCTGATGATCTGTCACTGTCTCCTGTCAACCCCAGATGGGACCTTCTAGTTGTAGGAAAACAAGCTCAGAGCTTTCACTGATTTTACATTATGGTGAGTTGTATAATTATTTCATGATTTTTTTTACAATGCAATGATATAAATAAAGTGCACAATAAATGTAATGCACTTGAGTCATCCTGAAACCATCCCCCGCCTTCCCAGTCTGTGGAAAAATTGTCTTTCATGAAACCGGTCCCTGCTGCCATAAAAGGGTGGGAACTGTTGGTCTAAGTCATCAGTTCACATATTATCTTATATTTCCATTTAAAATTTTTTCTTACCTGTCTTCCTTGGGATAGGTTTTCTTCTTTTTTACTCTTGAAATAAGATTTAGGATTTGAGGCACCATGAAGAGAGCACTTAATCTTAATTTTCTTCTCTCAGTTTTTAATATGTGAGTACTGTGTTAAACTTTAGTCAGTTATTACCTAATACATCTTTTACTCTTTACCAGTCTTAAACAGTCACAGACCCTGAGTTAGGATAATTTATTTGGAAATGGGGTTGGAATGTGTGTTCAAGCATAGGGATTAGGAGTAGGGGAAGGAATCTGACCCATTTCATTATTTTCCCTGATGGTGGGCTCACGGTGATAATTGTTGAGCTTTCTTATGTCATTTTTATTTATTCTTTTCTCTTTTACATTCAGGGGGTACATGTGCAGGTTTGTTACATGGGTAAATTCCACATCATTGGGGTTTGGTGTACAAATGATTTTGCCACCCAGATAGTGAGCATAGTACTTGATAGGTTGTTTTTCGAGCCTCCACCTTCCACCCTCAAGTAAGCTCTGGGGTCTGTTGTTCCTCTCTTTGTGTCCATGTGTGCTCAGTGTTTAGCTCCCACTTATAAGTGAGAACATGTGGTATTTGGCTTTATGTTTTCTGCATTAATTTGTTGAGGATAATGGCCTCCAGCTGCATTCATGTTGTTGCAAAGGACATGATTTAATTCTTTTTTATGGCTGCATAGTATTCCATTGTGTATAGGTACCACATTTTCTTTATCCTGTCTACCATTGGTGGGCATCTAGGTTGATTCCATGTCTTTGCTATTGTAAATAGTGGCAGTGAACATATACACCCATGTGTCTTTATGGTGGAATGATTTATATTCCTTTGGGTATATGCCCTGTAATGGGATTGTTGGGTCAAATGGTAGTTCTGTTTTCATTTCTTTGTGAAATTTCCAAACTGCTTTCCACAGTGGCTAAACTAATTTACATTCCCACCAGCAGTATATAAGTGTCCCCTTTTCTCTATAACCTCGCCAACATCAGTTATTTTCTGACTTTTTAATAATAGCCATTCTTACTGGTTTGAGATGCTATCTCATTGTGGTTTTGATTTGTTTTTCTATGATGATTAGTGATGTGGAGCATTTTTTCATATGCTTGTTGGCTCCCTATATGTCTTCTTTTGAGAAATATCTGTTCATGTCCTTTGCCCTTTTGTTAATGGGATTGTTTGTATTTTGCTAGCTGATTTAAGTACCTTATAGATTCTGGATATTAGACCTTTGTTGGATACATAGTTTGCAAAAAATTTCCCCCATTCTGTAGGTTTTGTGTTTACTGTGTTGATAGTTTCTTTTGCTGTACAGAAGCTCTTTAGTTTAATTAGGTTCCATTTGTCTATTTTTGGTTTGGTTGCAATTGCTTTTGGAGACTTCATCATGAAATCTTTGCCAAGGCCTATGTTCAGAATGGTATGTCCTAAACTTTCTGCTAGGGTTTTTAATAGTTTAAATCTTTAATCCATCATGAGTTGATTTTTATGTATAGTGAAGTGAAGGGATAAGTTTCTATCTTTTCTACTGAAAGGCAATTTTATTGCTGTGCTTTATATAGAAACACAAAATAATTTTTAAAGCTTCCATACGATGAAGCTTTGAATACAAGAGGTCTGTGGTTTCATTAAGTTCATTTGTTCCTTTTCCTCCCCAAATACCTGCTTTCTGACTTTTCCTGTCCTTTGGAAACTTTTTTTAAATGCAGTATGTTTATCTTTCTTTCTTCTTCAGCATAGAATTTCTTATTTGGCTTGTTACAGCAAAATAAAGAAGAGTGGTGCTTTTGTGTCTTGATGATAGTATAAGAACAGCATATTGGCATATAGGAAAAAGAATTCAGAATTTGCAGGCAATGCTATTTTCACAAAAGCACCTTCATTTAAAAATCTGAAAAATTACTTGATGTATTTGTCTCATCGTTGGTCTCATTTGCCTTTCAACGTTAGTACCTTTTCATCTTGTATTAGCATCTTATATATTATTAAATACAATCTTTTGATTTTAGGAAGATTTAAGTAGCTGAAATTGTCTCCAGATTACACTAAGGCCAAATTTACTTTGGCATACTTGTCCCGATGATGTTGTATCTTGCTTTTAAATATTTGTTCTAAATATGTTATATTAGGCCGGACGTGGTGGCTCAAGCCTGTAATACCAGCACTTTGGGAGACCAAGGCGGGTGGATCACCTGATGTCAGGAGTTTGAGACCAGCCTGCCCAACATGGAGAAACCCCATCTCTACTAAAAATAAAAAAAAATTAACTGGGTGTGGTGGTGGGTGCCTGTAATCCCAGCTACTCATGAGGCTGAGGCAGGAGAATCACTTGAACCCAGGAGGCGAAGGTTGCAGTGAGCTGAGATCACGCCATTGCACTCCAGCCTGGGCAACAAGAGCGAAACTTCGTCTCAAAAAAAAAAGAAAAAGAATAAATAAATAAATATGTTATATTTCTTAAGTGTATCATTTTCGTGCCACTCTTCTCTGTTTTGTCAATCCTTATGCCAGTTCCATACTTTCTTCATTACTTCGTCTGTACAGTGATTCTTTTGTCAGTAGTGTTTTTACGTTGATTTTTTGTCAAGGTTGTTCTGGATATTCTAGGTTCCTTTCCTTTCCAAGAAAATTTAGAATCAGCTTGTATGTCAATTTTCTCAAAAAGGACTGCTTTGGTTGGGATTGGAGTTTCCTTATTATCAATTTGGTGAGAAGTGCATTTTAATAGTATTCAATCTTCCAATACCTGAAAATGCTACATCTCTCTCTCTAGGTTTAAAAAAATAAATATATAGGATTATTTGGAGATGAATAATGTATTGTCTCCTCCTTCAGAGAAGTTCATGGGAAAGTAGGAGAACCAACATGTAGACAAGTTACCTTATGTATGCAATGTGGCAGTTAACTGTAACAGAAATAGGTAAAGGATGATAGGATAATATATAATTGATTAATATTTTTCTAGAAGTCGAAGAAGGAAAACAATGCCACTGCCATATATAACAGATGGTATTTACTCATTCATCCATTTATTTTAAGTATGTTTGCAAGTTAAGCTATCATAGTATCATTATATTCAAATAATTGTATAATTACTTGACTCAAGTGTTCAGTTGAAAATCAGACCAAGTGGAGCTTGATTACAACCCAGAAAGTAATCTAATTAGAGTCTTTCATATTGGGATCATCTCTGACATATTTATCACTCTTAAGAAAGATGACTAATATTCCCTAATATTAAAAATAATGATTTTAATTGGGTAAAGTTTATATTGGAAAATTCATAATCCATTTCTTTATCTCTTTACAATGTTATTCATAAAAATTAGTCTTTGAAAGAAGAAATGCCATTGTCTTCTGTTTTTCAAAATAGACTATTATTACCTAGAATTGGAAATAGTATAATAATAAATATAAGAAGACATTTGCTGCTAATGGCTTTACACAGAAATTTTATTTACAATACATTTATATTTGTCTGTGTAATGGTGAACTTCTGTACGTGCCAAAAGAACTTCATTACATGTTGTTCTTCATGAGCTCTCCCATGGAAATTATTCTTTACAGTCAGAGAAATGTGATGCCCTTCTTCAGTCACTGTTACATTATGCAGGTTTTTATATTTCTCTTTTTCAGCTTCACACATCAAGTGACATTATAACAACTATACT